AGGACACGGACATAATGTGGCTAAGAAACCCATTTACGAGGCTAGATCAAGATGAAGAGGATGATCTACGTATCAGCTGTGATCGATTAAATGGCAACCAGTGGTCAGAAGCCAACCCCATCAACACAGGCTTCTACTACGTTAGGTCTAACAACAAGGCCATCGCTTTGTTCGACTCTTGGTATGCAAAGAGACACAATTCCACGGGGATGAAAGAGCAAGATGTGCTAGACGACATGAAGCGGAGGGGTGAGTTCAAACGCCTGGGGCTCAAAGTAAGGTACCTGAATACCCTCTATTTCAGTGGCTTTTGCCAAGATATATAGCAGAGATTTTAGGGCAGTCACAATAGTTCATGCTAACTGTTGTCGTACTATAAACGCAAAGGTGGCCGACCTGACTCTTGTGCTTCAAGATTGGAAGAAGTTCAAGGCAACCAATCAAAAAGCAGCCTCCTTTAATTGGTCCGGCCACAACGCATGTGCTCACTCATGGTAATGGATTGATAGGAAGTTTGGTTGGTTGGTTTCTTTCTATTTTGTCACTCATCTCATCTCCCATCTGTTTTCACTGTGTGTCACAAGTATACTGTATACGAATTCGAACTGGGTTTACACAGTCTGGATTTGTTGCACTTGTTTGCTCTGCTACACATACGTAAATACCCAACCGCCATGACTACAAATGACAAACAACTGAGTGGGCTGGGTGTTGGGTCGAGCTACAGCGCACCCATTTAGCCATCGTTTGAGGGTGCTTATTGGTAAGGGTAAAAGACCTCCCTTGTAGAATGATATCATCAGACAAAAACCTCCCTCCCATTAGTAATCAATCAACATCCGTTTGCATCTCACGTTATATGTAATTGATTTCTTTTTTTTTTTTTGAAAAGCCCAAATTTAGCATTTATAGGCCCTTCGACAACAATCCAGGAAAGAACATTGCACAAGTGGTCAAACAGATGGCCATCCGAAGAAAGACTCACAAAAACATTTCCTCTGGAGATAGAAAAAACGAGATTGAAAGAATGACAGACACAGTACCACCAACAAAAAGAAGAAAACGTTGGACAGCAACAAGAAGGTGATGTGATTGAAGGTTCTAATTATGCCACCACCAACAGCACAGTACTGGATATTGGCGATGATGGGAACTTTTTGCTGGAGATTAGGGAAATAAACCCAATTTTGGGATCCCACTGAGGCGTTCCTGGCTTTGTTCAGCAGCTATGGGCTTTTGCTGTACAATGAATCAATCCAATCTTGAAAACCGTTGGAAGAACCTGAAGCATCCAACTCAATGTATTTGAGGCCAATCCAACTGATGAGACTCCTGATTCAGAACAGAGACTTTAACACCAGAACTAGACCAGAGAGAGAGATGGATTTCAGGGCAACTGCAAAAAAGCCTTACCTAGTTTGCATCCCTTATCCAGAACAGAGCCATGGAACCTCTATGCTCAAACTAGCAAAGCTCCTCCATCATAAAGGCTTCTACATCTATGCTCAAACTAGCAAATTACCAGGATTTTTCATGGTCCAAAGAGAAATAAAAGGCCACAGAGGGCCAAACCGAAAGAAGCGTTTCTCGTTTTGTGTGGGTGGGCTGGTATCTCTGAAAGGTATGGGAAATATTAAGAAAGAAAGGGTAAAAAAGACTTTTAACGATTTTACTAGACATAATCGTGATAGGGGGGGGGTCCCTTGGTTTTTTTTTTTTTTTTCAAAAGAGAGGGGAAGTCTTGATATTTAACATAAATGTTAGGGGAGGTTTAAGTCTTCTACCCTATTAATAATTACTTAGAAATGTTTGGTGAGAGGTGTTTATTTCAAATGGGTAATATAGATATTTCAAATGTTTGGTCAAAGACAGATCAGAAACCCAATAAGCACTTAAAAAATGTAAAAACTTTTGAACTTATTCAAAATGGGCTTATTTCCCTGAAAAAGCGCTGCTTATTCAGCTTGTTTATCAAATGCATATAAATTCTTATTATTGATGTGATCGCCTCAAATAAATGCTTAAAAATAAAGACTGCCAAACAGGGGCTTAAGCAATCAACACATTTCACAAACATCTATACATAACCTAAATGGTTATGACCCAACTCCACTACATTCACCGAATCCAATCATCAACCCAAATTAGGGGTGCAAGTGGGATGGAAAACACTTAGCTAAGGTTAATCCTAATCAGCATTTAGGCTGTTTTTGCTTTGAAGGGTAAAGTAGGGAAAAGAAGGAAAAGGTAAGAAAACTTTTACAAATCTTGTATAAATTTACTTACACTTTCTTTCCTTATCTTTTCCTTCAAACCAAACATAGTATTAGAGTTTAGTACTTTTGACATTAGTATACATAACGGATAGACACTATTTTTATTTTACACTAAAAATTCTAGTCTTTGAACTAAAAAAGTTGTTCTAAACAATTGAAATTATGGATTTATGTACACATGTATGCATAGATATGTAGATTTTATGTACACAAATGGTAATAGACATGTTAGGCCCAAGTCCTTACCCCCTGACCCAACTTGAAGTTAAATGGGGTTCTTCATATTTTCCAACTTACCCTAGCTAATCCAAACCTTTAACCTGACTATTTTGAGTTGGATTTAGGCTAACTAGACCTAGACCAAAAGTTGCAGTCCTAATCCCAATGCCATATTTAGGCAGGGATCACTTCCACATCTATGGCTTGTACATTTAGGGTGTGCACACAAGGAGAACGAGTGAAAGATTTGAAACTTGAAGGCAGCGCAGACCGAGTGAACAAATCAAAGTTGATCCAATGGATATCCTTTACCAAACCTAAACCAACCCGTGATTTGAGTCATTTGACCCTTTTCTAAACATGTTGATTGGTTGGGTTAAGTAGGTTGGATCAGAAATTACCGCTCAGCACCTTTCACCATTTTCTTGGGAAAGTGACGATGGTCAATCCAACGGTGCAATTTTGGCCCAATCCATTTTGTCCCCATCAGCTCCATGGGCCGCGCCATCCATCATTTATTAACCCTTGAGCTTGGGTGAAGTCGATAACTTGAAATATAGAGGGTGGGACTGGGGAGTGGGGACCAAAGAAAGACTTATGAGCAACAACATTTTTCATGGGCCCAGCCCATGCCTCTACCGTTGTTGAAACATGAATAGAGGTGTAAAACGGGCCATATCGGGTCGGTACCTGCAGGCGGCCCGTGCAAAGTGTGGGCCATGCCATGTTGGCCCGTAGGTTGTCCCAGGCCGTGCCGCTTTCTCCTGGGATAACTTGGGGGTCGGCCTAGCATAGCTTACAACCCAAACCCGCATGGGCCTAATGTTGTATCATAGGTCGGGCTGGTCCGTGGGTCGAGTCTTGGGCCAGGCCGAGTTATAGATCAGGTAAAGCCATGTTTTCTGATTTTTTTAAAAATATAATGAAAACTTTAACATAAATTAAAAATATATACACAAAATTAAAAAAAGATGTTAAAATTTTATTTTATATGAATTTTGATATATACAATAATAAAATTGAAAATAAAATTATATATATTAATATATTAAATAATTATTATATATAGGGAAAATTCCGGATCAGTACCCTATACTTTGGCTCAAGTGACAAATTGGTCCCTGAACTTTAAAATGTGACTATACAGTACCCGAATTTTCAAAATGTAACAATCTAGTATCCGAACTTTCAAAATGTGACAATCCAGTACATGTCGTTAATCATTCCGTTAATAATCCACTAAGTGACATTTGAAAAGTCAAAAATGCCCTTCAAATGCCATCTAATTCTCTTTATCAACCATCCAAACATTGACAAAAAATTGAACAATCTCAAATCCTAGACTCTTTTATTCAAAAAAGTTGAACAATCTCAAATCCTAGACTCTTCTATTCAAAAAAGTTGGTGACTGTTTAAAAGAATCTAGAGTTTAGGATTGTTCGTTTTATTGTCAATGTTTGGATGGTTGATAAAGAGAATTAGATGGAGGACATTTTCAACTTTTAAAATGTCACTTAATTGCTGATTAATGGACTAGTTAACGATAGGTACTAGATTGTCACATTTTGAAAGTTCGGGTACTGGATTGTCACATTTTGAAAATTTGGATACTAAATTGTCGCATTTTAAAATTTGGGGACCAAATTGTCACTCGAGCCAAAGTATAGGGTACTGATTGAAACTTTTCCGTATATAATAATGGGGTAATAGCATATAAGGGCAACTTTTGGGGTTTAATATCAATAAAAGTAATATATTTAAAAAAAATTTCAAAAATAGGTTAACTTTTTAAAAATAATATCAATAAATGGCAAAAACATTGTTCATCATCTTCTTCTTGCCATTTGTTCACTAGAGCCATCGTCCACCGCCACCCGTCACTGCCCGCCATCGTTGTCCTCTGCCGCCCGCCGTCGCCTCTACCCACCTCCGGCAATGTTACCAGAAATGGCAGCGACAGTGTTGGTGGTTTCTCTGTCCAACACCACCACCTCCACCCACTTCTACCTTCGCCTCCGGCAACATTACCGAAGATGGGTGGAGATAGAGGTGGTGGCAGCGTCGAACAACAACTCCGATGAATAAATGACAAAAAAAAAGAAGATGAACATTATTTTTACCTTTTATTGATATTAATTTTAAAAAGTTAATCTATTTTTGAAAAATTTTTAAATATATTACTTTTATTAATATTAAACCCCAAAAATTGCCCTTCTATACTAGAAACCCTATAATATATATACATATTATATGTTATAAATATAAAATATATATAGATTATGCTAACACGACACAACACAACGGGCTCGATCATGCCGATCCATACACATGAAACGCCAAGCTTGACACGGCCATCTGATTGTATCGTACCTGGCATGACCTGCAATCTATCTTACCGAATCATATCGATACAGCCCGATTTATACCTCTATAATCCACCTCAAAAAGCGGATCGGAGCCCGATGGAACGGGTAAATTGCTATTGCTATGGACTTGATTTCAACTCTCTCTCTCCAATCAAATTTCACTTCCAATACATTATATTCTCTCTCCAATCCGGAGCTCTTCTATAAGTTTTAACTTTTAAGGCGGCGTCCTTGTTACAGATAGAATCTTATAAATAATAAATCGTAGATATTTTTCTTTAAACTGTCGTTTAGAATTAGAATGGTTTAGTTTTAGTAGATATCTTCGAAAAATCACATTTTTATTGTCGACCCTGAAGCTGGGATGCCCAATCCCAACGGCAATGCAGTCTGCAAGCTCTCTCACACTCACTGTCATGCCCACCCTCGCAAGGAACACTTCCCTCTTCGCTTTCTTCAACAAAACACAATTTCCTTTATGCGGCCAGAGCAGATATTCTCACCGTTCTCGCCTCCATTATCCAATTCTTATTTCTTTCAAATCTGTTATCAATAAGAAAAATAGCTTCTCCTCGAACAAGAGAATCCATCTCTCTACTTTGGCCCTCTCTGCAACAGTACCCACTAATGAATCTTCAACTTCAACCACCACCTCGCTTTCCAACAAATCACGGAAGAAAGCCCATCGAGAGTCTCCTGAAAACTTGCTTCGGTTCAACCTGGATATGTGCTCGAAGCGTGGTGACCTTGTTGAAGCCCTTCGCCTTTACGATGATGCTCGGAGTAAGGGAATATCACTTAGTCAACATCATTATAATGTTCTACTCTACCTCTGTTCTTCTTCTCATTCTTCTTCGGTTGATGGCGGCGAGAATGATGAGAGGAACTTGAATTTAGGTCTAAGAAGGGGTTTTGAGATTTTTCAGCAGATGGGTATTGATAGAGTTGCTCCAAATGAGGCTACATTTACTAGTGCAGCGAGATTGGCTGCTGCAATGGAAGACCCAGAGATGGCGTTTGAATTGGTTAAGAAGATGACGAGTTATGACATCCCGCCGAAGTTGAGGTCGTACGAACCGGCACTATTTGGGTTCTGTAAGAAGGGGGAAGCGGATAAGGCTTATGAGGTTGATGCGCACATGGTGGCGTCTGGGGTGTCGGCAGAGGAGCCCGAGCTTGCTGCATTGCTACAACTTAGTTTAGATGCAGAAAGAGGGGATAAGGTGTATGAAATGCTTCATCGGTTGCGGGCCACCGTGAGGCAGGTGTCGGAATCGACAACCGTAGTTGTTGAGAGCTGGTTTAAGAGTAATGCTTCTGCCGAGGTTGGGGAGGAGAATTGGGATGTGGGCAAGGTGAAGGAAGGGATTGTGCAGGGTGGCGGTGGGTGGCACGGGCAGGGGTGGTTGGGGAAGGGGAAATGGGCGGTGGTTAGGACTAGGATGGATGAGGAGGGTACCTGCCATTCTTGCGGGGAGAGACTTGTTTCTATCGATATTGATCCATTGGAGACAGAGAACTTCGCTAGTTCGTTGTCCAACTTAGCTTGCCAGCGAGAGGCCATGGCTGATTTCAATAGTTTTCAGGTATTACTGTTCTTATTTTCCTTTGATTTTCATTTGTTTGTCTTTTCTAATTTTAGAGATTTGAAGTATTTGGGTTGTTTTGGTTGGTTATCTCTTTATAGATGAACGAAGTAGATCGTTGAGTGCTGTCTTAGTATTGAGTAAATCCCTATGACTTAAAATCCATCTCCAATCTTGATTATTCTAAATTTCATGCATAAGAATGTGATCCAATATTTCCACGTCCACGAGGCATAAAGAACATGCATTTATTATCACCTTCTTTCTTGATTATTGGAATTTTGCACTACATGCTGGAAGGGGCCATTGTTGGTATATCAAACCTCTAAATTATCCCTCTTGCTACCCAGCCACAGAAAACAATCACCTTAAGAAGTGACTCTCCAACTTACATTGGAAACAGAGGTTGTCTGGATACCCTATTCTTCTAACTCTTTTGCTGATTCCCTAGCTCATGAATGAGTTAGTAGACAGCTTCTGATGTGGGGTGAATACCTACTGGGATAAGGGAAAGTTTCTGATGTAAAAGGGTCAGTCAGGTAATGGAAAAGCAGCTGTGCGCTAGCTCAACGGACCTTTATAATTTTCGCTTTTTAAGAGAGGCTCATCTTTTATTTTCACCCTGTTCATTTCTGATACTTAATAAAAAATTACCAGTTACTGATCAGAAAAAAAGATCTGTATATCTTAGCCACAACTAATTTGATCTGTTGTTAAATTGGAGAAAATATATGAAAGGTATATGATGCTTCATTGGCAATGTATTTCACTATCTTAGTGGATGGCCGATACTTGCTCCTTGTCTGTGCTTCAGGCAAGATCTACGCACAAAGATTGTTAGTCAAATCCTGTTTAACTTAGAAGGTCAACTGGATTTAGGAGTGGCTTCTCCAACATGGACCGTTTGATGCTGTTATAGATGGTGCTAATGTGGGTCTCATCAATCAGCGCAACTTCAGCTTTTTACAGGTGAGAGGTTCTGAAGATAATTTCTGTGAAGACTAATGAATATGGCAGTTCTTTAAAATTAGATATACAAGGTGCTGAGTATTTTAATTTTGGTGGTAGCTAAATTCTGTTGTAAATCGTGTCCGCCAAATGAGTCCATCTAAACGCTTGCCGCTTATAGTTCTACATAGTCGTCGTGTGAAGGGTGGTCCTGCACAAAACCCAAATAATAAGAAGTTGTTGGAAAACTGGAGGAAGTCTGGTGCACTCTATGCTACCCCTTATGGATCAAATGATGATTGGTAGGATCTCCTTTCTTCAATCAGTGAGTTTCCTTTTAGAACTGTTTGATATTCATTACCTTGTTACTCTTGCTTAGCAATGTTTGTCATCTATTCTGCTACATTAACAGTCCATGAAATTTAGTCATGCTAATTAAAATCTCAAGAGTGACATGCTTGATACATTTTCTCTTCTATACTTTAATCTCATTTATTTATGCTCTAGTGTTATATTTCCATAGAACTGTATGTGATATTCTTGTTCTCTTATGAAAAAAATGGTGATAAATAGTTTTGCAATGTACAGATCTTTCAACAATTGATTATTGATGTTGCTAGGCTCTGTGATCTTTAAAACTCTAATTTTTAGAAATTAGATATTTCTTCTATGACCATTTCTGTTATGTTGCATGTGAAACATTCATTCATATAAATTATTGTTTATTTATAAAGTTCTATCACAGTGAAGAAAACCACACTTAGAATCAGGAGTTAGTTTGGCTGTACATATTCTCCTAACTTTACTTCTCAAACATATATGACTTGGAACAATCTAGAACTCATCATCCAGTTTTTCCACTTGACATTTGTCCACTCTCCAACTAAAAAACCTATGCTTTAAGATCCTTAAAACTCACTTTGTATTAGCTTCTAATTGCTACATTTAGGATCCAGAAAATAAGCAGCTTTGGCTTAGGTTTCCTACATTTGCTTTTAGTATTAGAGTGAGTCCTTTAGTTGTATAACTGTCTCCTCTTACAGGGATGCGACTTGGCAGGTTGTGTTTAAACAACCTAGCTTTGTGTAGCTCATTTGCCTACAAAAAAAAAAAAATAAATAAATAATCAGCTAAGCACCCAACCCATTTAGATAGACTCAAAATGGGTAAGACCCCAACTGAACCCAGTGTCTCAGTCAAACCTGATCCAACCCGCTAAACTGTTCAGTAACTTCAGAGGCACAATGTATCACCATCATGTTATCCTGACAACAAATCCATCCGATTTTGGGATGGCTTGGCAGCATGAGCTGCTAGTGTCCTTAGGTCAGCCTGACCCTGTTATCTACATCTAAACCCATAAATTCTGAAGTAATCTTTGGTCAATTTGGCAAGGGTTATGTACTTCCTTTTCAAGGCCAAAACAGCCAAGAATACACAATTTCAAAAGTTAATCTGTCAGTCCGCACCTTTACATAAAGATTAGAAATTGCAGGTAGGGAATATTGTAATGTCCACAAATGGGGTGGGGGGGTAGCCCATCCCCCAACCCAGGTGCAGGCGGAATTCGATCTCAAGTCTCTGCTACGACCAGTGGGAGACTTTACCAACCCGCTGGTTGGCACCTTGCGGGATACACTGAATAAGGATAACTCTACAAGTTCATCCAACATGCGCCTGACCCTGTTATCTACATCTAAACCCATAAATTCTGAAGTAATCTTTGGTCAATTTGGCAAGGGTTATGTACTTCCTTTTCCAGGCCAAAACAGCCAAGAATACACAATTTCAAAAGTTAATCTGTCAGTCTGCACCTTTACATAAAGATTAGAAATTGAAGGTAGGGAATATTGTAATGTCCACAAATGGGGTGGGGGGGTAGCCCATCCCCCAACCCAGGTGCAGGCGGGATTCGATCCCAAGTCTCTGCTACGACCAGTGGGAGACTTTACCAACCCGCTGGTTGGCACCATGCGGGATACACTGAATAAGGATAACTCTACAAGTTCATCCAACATGGTTCCTTCGAAGATTAAACCAAGTCGCTATAAAATATTCTCCTTGTGATACTGCAACATTTCTCTAATCATACCCATGAGGATTTCTTAAACAATTGAGGGTGCAGGGACACAGGCCAGTTCTGAGGCTTAGCAGTCATGATCAAAGGCCTTGATACCTCTCTCGACAGAACAGGGTCCTCAAAGTCAAGAGATTGATTCTCATTTCTTGTAAATATCCTGCCATTTTGCAGGCAGCATTTTATTATCTTCTATCCATATTGGTTTGGTCGTGTACATCCATGGCTCAGATCCCTGTTTGACTAGAAAGTTAGCTTATAAGCAGTGCTGTCAATGCATCTATTCACTTAATTCAATTATGTAAGCAAGTTATTTAGATATTTTGAACAAATGTGTCAAGAATACTGTAAATTAGAAACTAGAAATCTATAGATTTTCTACATGAATTTTTTAGGAATAATCATTTAGATGAATAAAGGAGGAGGGAGGGATGCAGGATACTGGTTGGATGAAATGAACCAAGAAAATTGCCTTTAGGCCTCGTTTGTTTATCAGGAGTTCGTTTACCCGAGTAAGTGCACTTACCCATGTTCTTTTTTGTTACATTTACCCATGTAAATGAGGCCTCTCAACTTTCCCATGTTCTTTTGCCTGACCCACTTTCCTGAGTATAGTTAATTTTTCCATCTTCTGTCATTTTTACCCTTGGGTCCAAGTCCATGTTTTTTGGATTATATTGTTTGAATGGGTGTTTTTGACAGATTGTATTTTGAACGTTTACTCTCCACTCGGGAAAGTTAACTTACTGTGGGTCCCACCTAAATCCTCAAAAAGAACATGGGAGAGTCGGTCAATGGGAATGGGAATGGGAATCCGGGAAACGGACAAGGCCTTACTTTCACTGCTTGGCACCCAATGAGTACCTGTCAACCTGTCCTGAAACAACCTGATTATTAATGACCTAATGATTATCTGACTTTCATCCTATCTGTTTGTTGGGTAAAAACATCCATCCCTAACTGTATTGTCACCCCTAATTGTGGCTGAGTTACTTGAGTGGCAGCACATGAGATTATGAAGGCACTAAAAATTCCTCATGTTATTTGTCTGATAATTTTGAGTTAACTTAAGCTCTTTTGATTGGTTTGAGTTTAACTAAACTTGAAATTTGGACTAGTATCAAATACAAAAGAAAAGGCCTAGTATCATCTTTGAACCTTTGAGGTACAATTGAATAATCAATTTACTGAGTGGTTGAACAATTGACTGGTGAAGATGCTCCCATGGTACAACTCCTGAAAACATAGATTTTACTTGCTTAGCCATAATCTCAACAACAATAACTGTGTAACTCCCCTCATTGATGTAGCTGATTTATAAATGGAAGAGGAGGTTGAATATCATTGTGCTTGATGACATATTTAGCTAGGCACTTGCTAAGCTTTAAGATTGGAAATAACGTGAGAGAGAAAAGAAGATGATGATGAAAGAGTATTAGTTTTGTCAGGTAGGTTACAGACAGTGGAATAATAGTTTTGCTCTTTCTTTTCTTTCTCTAACATATATATATATATATATATATATATATATATATATATATAGGTTAAAAACTTGCAGGAACAAAGTACATTAAATGTTAGAATCTGAATAATATATGCCATTGTTTAATCTCAGGTCAATCAATTGACTAATGAGCCCAATCAATTTTAATTTTCATAAAGTTCTGCATTTGTTTTTAGTTGAAACTTTATGCTATACAAGGATCAGTGGTGCTATCTATCCCCTTGTAAATCTGGTGTTTCTTCCCCATCCTTTTTAGTTGATGTAACCTTCAAAAATGATTGTTCCCTGAAATTTTCATGTTATTACAGGTATTGGTTATATGCTGCTGTTAGTTGTAAATGTTTGTTGATTACCAATGATGAGATGAGAGATCACTTGTTCCAATTGTTAGGGACCAGCTTCTTTCCAAGATGGAAAGAAAAGCATCAGGTGTGTTTATCTCTTGTATTGCCCAATTTTTTGATTGTATTAAAACTGTGTATATTGTGAAAAGGCAAGTTTGTTCCCAGATCATAAACATGAAATTTAGAACAGTTGTTCATGTTAAGCATTGGGTTTTGTATCATGATGTATCAACATTGGCTGCAGCTTTTGGAATGTTTACTCTGATATTGTTTGTTGAAACTGATTATCTATAAGTTCATTTTATGTTACTAGTATGTGCTGAATAAACTATATATGCTTCAAAGGTTCCTTGGAATTATTATTCTTTTAAAAGGAACTCAGACACTAAATTCAATATATTTTCAGTTTAACTTACATTAATCTAGATATCAAAAGAATGGGAAAAATGTAGCAATTGTATTTCCATTTTCATTATTTAGCATAAGATAGAAACAGGCTTCTATGGTTAATACCTGATTACTTGTTCATTGTTGCAGGTTCGATTGACAGTTTCCAGAAAAGGGCTCAACCTCCACATGCCGCCACCATATTCAATTGTTATACAGGTGACTGATTCACATCTAATCATTTATTGATCATAAGCTTTACTACTTTTATTGCATAACTTAATTTTATCTGCATCCTTCAAATGTTTCTGACGGGAGATCAGACTGCAGGAATCAGAAAGAGGTAATTGGCATGTACCGACAGTCACCGGTGACGATATTGAGACCCCAAAACCATGGTTATGTATCACCAGGGCCCACTCTGTGACCAGCAGCCCAAAACAAAAGCCCTCTGCAAATATTATGGGAGAAAGAACTCGTTAAGTTGCTCTTGGCCAAGCAGAGCAATTTTGTAGGCTAGTATTTGAAGATTTGTATTAGTTCAAAACAAAAAAGGTGTTGATTATTTGCGCTTAATTTTGCTCCGGTGTCCAATGGCTCATCACCATCGTCATCATCCAAGCCTTATCCCTACCTATGAGGTCGGGTACATGAATCTTGTTTCACCATTCCAATCTAATCTGTTTAATGCCATATCCATTGTTAAATTATTTGCACTTAAAATCATGTCCGTTTTGGTCTACCCCTTGCTCTTCTACCCTCTTCAACTTATAATAATTCACTACTCATGGCTATTGATGATTTTTATGCACATAAGCAAGTCATATTAGTTACTTTCATTCTTTCACCTAATCTTCCCATTTTTAGCTTTTCCACTCATTTATCTCAATATAAGTATTTCTGCCACACTCATGGTGCTTTCTGGCCACATGTCAATGTTATATATCAAAAGATCAAGCAATTGGAAGTTTGCACAGCGATGACAAAAATATAAAATCAATGAAGATATTTTTTAAGGGAGTTTTGGCTTTCACAACCCTTGAACTTTGGTAAAAAACCACTTTAGACTCTAAAGAATTTAAAAGGTCATTTTTGCTCTTAAATTATGATGAAAAGGCCACTTTTTAAGGCAAAAGCAGATGATGTTAGTGACATCGTTGAAAGTTTAGTTAGACAATGAATAAAATAATAAAATCATGCTTATGTAGTATTGCTCATAATTGAAAATACCACTTTAGTTGTTAAAAAAAATAAATTCCATTAACTTAAAGTAAACTACTTCAAGGATTTTATCTAACTAGAGATTAAATTAACAATAATTAATCTAACACTAAATAATTAGCAATAATTAAGAGTAAATTATTACTTAAACACTAACTAAATTAGCTTAACTAGCAATAAATTAACAATTGTTTAATTTATGAAACTTAGTAACTCAATTTATTTAATTACTTAATTTACTTATTTACCTTAATTAGCTTTGATTATTTAATTACTTTATTTATTTAGCTTAACTTATTTAATTGACTTAACTAAATAGTTAATTCGCTTAATTGACTTAATTTACTTATTTAGTTTAATTAGCTTAATTTCTTTAATTGTTTTATTTACTTAATCAATTAGTTAATTCACTTCATTACATGGTTTTAGAATTATTGTTGCCTTAGGCAGTTAAACCATTCAACCTAGGAACCGATCAATTGTCTGATTCCATTTTATACTTGACGTGGAATTTTTGGAAAAAAAGAAAAGAAATTTCTGAAACTCCCAATGAATGATTTTCAAATCATTTTTATTTTAATTTTCAAAACATCATGAGACAATCCGATTGGATTAGACAATTGAACCTTGACCCAAAAACCACTGGTGGAAGCAGTTCCATTTTTGAGTCAAATTTTTTAAACCTTGCTTAATTGGCTTAGTTTACTTATTTAGATTGATTAACTTTGATTATTTAATTAACTTAGTTTCTTTAATTGATTTAATTTGCACATTTATTTAATTTACTTGTTCAATTGCTTAATTTACATAAGTGACTTAATTATTTTAATGAATATATTTTATGTAATTTACTTAACTAAATTTATACCATCATAGATCTTGAAGTAATTTAGTTAATTAAATGTATTAAAATGGCCTTTTCAAACTTTAGGGTCTAAATTGAACTTTTTAAATTTGAGTGGTGTCACATAAGCATGTTTTTATTATTTTATTCATGATCTAGTGGATCTGTCAACGATGTCACTAATGTCATCTAATTTTTGCCGCCTTTCCATTATAGTTTGAGGGTGAAACTGGCCCTTTTTATAATAATTTAGGCTCACTTTGGAAGGAATACAATATAAGTGTAAAACCTTGTATTTACATCGTAAATATTTATATTTGTACTCTTTTCACATTGAGCCTTATAGGTGTTCTAACAAATATTTAACCTCCCCTTTAATTTGACCTCCATGCCCTTCATGTGCCAAATAAATATACAAACAACGAATACCATTTGTTCAGTATTCAGACATCTTGAATTATTGGTAAGGGAGGTTTAAGTTCAGCCAACTTGGCCTTTATCGTTCGCTTGGTCAAGTAAACAATGAAACCTACTTAATTAAAATGAATCAATCTCCTTTTTTTGGGGGGTAATGTAAATCTTTATTCCAATAAAGTTTCAACTTGGCGGCCTTTAAAGCACCATTTACCAATTTTGGGAAGGAGAAAAAGAAACAGCGGGAATTAATCATTTATCGGAAAAACACAAGGGACTTTTAAGTAATTTCAAAGAAATGGCGTAATCGGGTTTCTAGTTTTCTACCTATCCAGAACATCGAACCGATTCCCTCCAGATTTTGGTATCCGATCCACCTCAGCTCCATACCCCGCCTTATTATATTTTAGATTTTCCTAGTGGAGTCACTTTTCTTCCTTGGAAGGACCATCAACCGGTAAAATTATAGCCACGTCATCCATATCTTTATGTGAAGTTTAGACGTCAGATGACGGCCCCACCTATTGGACAGTCAGGATTGGTGGATTAAGGTAGTCCGTAGTCCGCATCAACCCCTGTAGGCTGCAGTGATGAAGTTTCAGACAGATGACGTGTCTTCGTCTTCCTTTCTCATCACGTTATCATTATCCTCCAACTCACCAGGAAAGCCGGAAAGACAGATGACGTGTCTTCGTCTACCTTTCTCTCCAAAGTTTCAGACCTTCGAACAAATGAATAGAGACCAAGCAAGCATGCAAAGTAACTTGTGGTCATTGGGACTTGGCATAGATTTTGTATTCTGGTGGGGTCTGACCGTCTGAGTCTGATAATTTGAGTCCACAAAACACAGACCGTCGAGAGCCAATTATCTTCTCTCCTATCCACACCCACTTGGCCACCGGCTTCGCCGTTTCTCTCTTTCTCTGTTCTGCACACACACGGAGAAAGGAAATAGAGAGAGCAGAGAGGGAGATAATGGCTGAGAGACAATGGAAGGGCTTCAGGGTTGTTGAGAAATGTGAAAGATGAAGAGAAGGAAGAGTTGTTTACTGAAATTTCCATGGCCTGTTACACAGTTGGTTCAGCTTCACCCAGGAGGGATGTCTTCTGCAACTGCAACAAGCTTTCCTCTACCAACGCCAACTCTTACAAGAGACCCATGCCCGTCTTCATTTCTTCTGTTAGCGAGAGGAGAGCCTCCTACAACCCCCTCGTTTTCCAGGTTTCCCTATTTTCTGCTTTTCACTCTCCCTTTATCTTTTATTTTTGTTGTCATTGCTTTCTTTTTTTTTTTTAATTCATTTGTTAAGATTTCATTGGATGCTGAAATGTGTTATTCTGGTTCAACAAACAATCAAGGATATGATCAATCACTAGTACATTCTCCCATGCATTTTGGGGCTTCTTCAATTCTCAAGAACAATTTTAGTCTGCACCCAAAATCAGAGCATGCACCATCTGTTGATGCTGTCCAGTGCCATGTCCAAATTGGCACTGTTTAGTTAACTATAATAATCTAATCTGTTACCTACCAATTGTGATCTTTCTCTAGGGAACACATTAATGTTTAGGGGATATGTTTTTTTTTTATAATATAGATATTTTAGACTGTATTTCTGCATTGATGATTGAGGATGATCCCTGAATTTGGACCAAACATTTCTAATAGTTGCTTATCAATAAAATAACAAAAAAAAAAAAGAAGAAAAGAAAGGATAAACCATTTCTAATAATTTAGCTTTTAGTGGTGAAAATATTTAAACTGGATGAAGCCAAGTTGGAAAAGGATTTTATTAGCAATCCGAAATAGTTCAGATAAGACTTAGCTAAACTGAATGGAATGTTCAGACTATGCTGAATATATATACTGACAGAATGACTGATGTTTATTGCAAAATGCCAAGAGAGATTGACTGGAAACTTGAGTAAGTACATAGTCAATTCTCAGTTTACACAAGCATGAAAGAAACACTAATGCTTTTCTTCCTAATTGGTTTCCCCAAATAGATGCTTAATGATGAAGATCAACATTGGATTGGTGAGAATTGAGACACAGGTGACCTCAAGGTTTTTTTAGTTCTGCAAAAACTGAGCTCTTTGGTATTGAACCATATATTTTCCCTTTGCTTCTCTTTTTACCCTTTCTTCTCCCTAAATTGGAACCTCCAGTTATTGTTGATTGGAGAAAGTACCAGATTGCTTGTAAACCACCAAATTTGGATCTCATGTTGAAAGATGTTTGTTGTCAGGCTGCTAAGCTTTTGGGCCCCCCGGCAAGATTTGAAGCCTCGAAATTGAAGGTAGTTTTCATTGGAGAAGGGATGGATAAATACACAGGAATTGTACCAAGAACCTATACCCTCTCCCATTGTGATATTACAGCTGATTTAACCTTATCTGTCTCCAATGCCATCAACCTTGATCAGGTGTGCATTCTTAACATTTATTGTTCATTTGAGGCATGTTCCTGTTACAAAGACAACTTGGTTACATATATTCTTGACAGTGGTAACGCATTGCAAATATGCACCTTGTTTGTGTAGGGACCATAATATTAATAGAATAGTAGCATATTTAGTAGATCATTGTTTCTTTCCATTGAAAGCATGGATGTTTTATTTTAGTTTATATTGTGTTTTGTGGTAGTTGAGAGGTTGGTACAACAAGGATGATGTAGTGGCTGAGTGGAAGAAAGTGAAGGAAGAGATGTTTTTGCACGTACACTGCCATGTGAGTGGTCCAAATCCAATGCTTGACCTGGTAGCTGAGTTCAGATATCATATCTTTACCAAGGAGTTGCCTTTGGTGAGTTCGTCTGCACGGTGAAAATCCACATTAATTAGCAACTGATCTGACCTTCTTCCATAGCCATTCTTAACATCTATTTGGTAAAGCATCTTCATATGTCCTCTTATGGTAGTTCATTTTGCAACCATGAAAATACTAAGACTAGAAGATTGTCCCTGTGAATCAGCAACACCAATTTTCCTTGTGCAGAGTCAACTCTATTGAGCTTCATATCCGAGTGCATTCTGATAATTCTTTTACTTCACAATAGAATTTGCACAGACCCATATACATGGACATTACACGGCTAATGAGTTAGAAGCAATGTACAAGTATAACATATACATGTTCTAGTCTTCTAGACATACAAAGATGGATAAAAACTGCCCACAGTAGTGCTCATATTTTAGACCCTTAAAATCCTTAAGGATAGACACCCAAAAAAACTACCAACCACTCAATCTTCCCTTCTACCACTGGGGCTAAACACTCATTCCTATCAAAAAATTGTTGGTTCTGTTCCTTCCATAAAATACATATTGCAATTGGTATGAATTCTTTGGCTGAAAAGAATCGACATAGATAGGTCATTAAGAATTACCCAGTACCTGTTAAATAAGGCTATAAAGTGAGACCAAACCTGATATTTAAATGAACAGTGTATATACCCTAGCCTTAAAAAGTGTTTTTCTAACAACTATAAGTCTAGAACTCAAGTCCTTTTCCCTCTTTCCCTTGGTCCTTTTAGACTTTTTGACTTTCACCAAATTAAGCCAATCCCATATAATATGAAACTATGAATATGGCTTTGCTGAATTGTATTATGTCAAATTTGCACCACATTACTCATTGTTATTGCCTGACCTCTGTTGTATGGAAGTCTATGTTAAGTGGATCCAGGGTGACATCTTTTGTTGTTATTGCAATGCATAGTAGGTACTTAAGGCTGTTCTACATGGAGACTCGATCCTTTTCAAAGAGCATCCAGAGCTGTTAGAGACTTTGGTCTGGGTTTATTTCCATTCCAGTTCAAAGAAGTACAATCGTGTAGAATGTTGGGGCCCCTTAAAGGATGCTGCTCAGGTAAAATACACATGGATCTAGCATGGCCAATAAGATGTATGAATCTGTACACTTCCTTGATTTCAATATTTGTAACTGATCTGTCTGTTATGACCTTGCTAACCATTTAAAGGTTGAAGTTTCATGGATGAGTCACTTAAATTTGATCTTGATTTAGAAATTGTATTAGAAGAGGAATGAGATCCAGATGTCCTGACAATATCTTTGGAAAATTTCTTATTTTTTTAGGGAAATCAAGGAGATCAAATGCCAAGTTTATTGGGTACAGGTGAGGAAGATCGTCGTCTTGAGAAGTGGGGAAGTCCAAAATCTATCTTCCAAGCCCTTGTAGCCTTCTTGCTTTAATATGTAATTTTTGGATTACATTACCTCAAGGCCTACCTTATCATGGTTCTATCTTTCTAACATTTACTATTCAAAGCCAAAGAATCAATGAGACACCAATAACAGCACTTGAATGACGCCTTTAGGGATGGACCAAACATGTAACTACCCTACAATACAAAACAATGACATCTTTCGCCTTACATTGAAACAAAGATTAGATTGAGGCTGTCATTCATTCTTTATTACAGTCCTTTTCCAAAGGGAAGGCTTGAGTCACCATATGTGCACAATCATTCATTTGTTAATTGATGATTGATTGTCATTTGAATTTCCTTTAATTCTTGTATTCATGTTTGTACAATGAAACACTGTACTATCTGTAAGTTTCCTTCTTGTCACTCACAGTTTTAGGCTTTGCCATTGAATGCCAATACTTGCATCACTATGCTTCTCTTTAGAATGACTAAATTGCTTGTGGTAGTTAGTAGTTCATTTGCTTGTATTTGGCTGCAGGGGCACCTCTCTCTTGATTGAGGTTAAGACCTAATCCATGGAAATTTGTTTCTCAGGCTCAGTTTGGAAAGAGTACAAATACATACAAAATATGAGGCTTTGCACTCTACATATTTGTATTTGTACTCCTAAACTGAGCCTTATGATATTATCCTTGTTTCCAGATCCTTTAAGTTAAAATATGCCTGAACTTCCCATGTGCTCACCATAGGTTTTATCTTTGCAGCCTGAATGTAAACTCCTTCAAGCAAGTCTTGAATGAAAGAGAGTAAGGGTTCCACCTGAATGGCGAGACCCAAGAAAAAAGAAATAGTGCACCGTAACAATGTATAGAGATTCCAAGGATAGAGCCATAGAGGGCTCTATATCTTTGTATAAACAGGTATTAATGTTGGATATGGCAAAGTGAATGAATACATATGCCTCAACTTATCATTCACGTTCAGCCCTCTAAAATCTAAACTCTGAAGAGATTTTTCCTAGTGTGAGTTGGAGGATTATTTGTCCCACAACTCTCCTTATTCTGCTTCTCGCAGACAGACCATAAAGTCTTGCATAAATTCTCCATATTTTCCAAGGTAGCAATTTTGGTTGCTATAGCTTTAGGTAATTTTTTCCTTCCAGATTCTGGCCCAACTTTAGCTTTATTTTTTTCAAAAATTACCAAGCTTTTTTAATATTACTGAATGTATGTTGAACCTTTTCTTTTAATCTTTTTTGTTGTTTGAAACAACGAAGTTGCTGTAAGAAGACTTGCCGCCCATCTTCCAAAAAGAAAAAGAATGCACTCCAAACGTATGAAATATAGAAAAAGATGCTAAATCACCCTGGTATTCTACATCACAATATTAAGAGAATAATACTCTGTAGGTGTGATTCTTGACTCGTATTTGGCAATATTATTGCTTTTTTTGTTTTTTCAAATTCTACCCCTCTTAATTTGGCCACATCTGGCAATTCCAAAAGACCACTAGCTGAAACTACCAACTCCACCGGACCATTCTCTGTCCACTAAAAGTCTAAAACCCTCTCTCCTGTAATCCCACCAATATACTTGAGTTCTGAATAAATGTAGGATAGGTGATTGTGTAATCAAACGTGAGATCATGCAACACGTGTTGGCCCTATGGAGTAAAGGTGATTCCGTCCATCCAGGCTGTATAATGGAGGAGAAGCTAAAATGGAACTCATTAGCTCTCTCAAGACTCACCATGGAGCCAACGACAGTGCCAACATAGTCGCGTTTCAACAAGAAGACGAAGTGGGTAATCCCAGTGTCGCTCAAGAAGGATTTGGTCCAGCATCCGGTTACTTGCACCGAAAGTTCTGCCGGTGAGTGAGCTCATCTCATATGCCTACTCGGTTGTAATGTCTCCAGCATCAGGTGGATAGTAGTCCAAAGTCCAAACCAACAGTGTTGGACTTCACCACGGTGGCGTTCGACCACTTTTGCATTCATACCGGAGGGAAGGCCGTGGTTCAATAGGTGGCACTAAAAGCACCTCTCAACCTTGTTGGATGAGCAAAAAAAGCCCAATAAAAACAATAAATTTCTTAAACTATCTCTATGATTTAGTTAATTAATTAATTTTACCTTATTATTTATATATTGTTTTAATGTACCCTTCCTCTGTTCCTCAAATTTTCAAATTAAAACCCAATTGATAGAAATTTTCAAAAACTGTAATTTGCTCCACACTTACTAGATGACTACCGGAAGTCGCATTCGATGGCCGGTTTATTTACTTTTGGTGGCTTTTCGACGGTCGTATATTGGTTTCCAGACAAATCCGTTCTTATAGCTCTTGAGTGACACATTTCCCTCAAATCATCACTGCTACAAAGTACAAACAATTTCTCTGATGCTGATAGAGTTGTAGAGCTCTGGACTCCGGTACTGCTTACCATGGTTATCTGGAAAACTGTCAGCATTTCCTGGTAAAGCGACATGCCCTGCACTGTGGGCATGGTTTTATGATGGGTTGGGAGGCTCTGCCACCCCAACCTAGTACAGCTACGTGAGTGGTGCACTAAGCAAGGTGAGGTGCTGGTTGTCTATGACTAATCGGCAAATTGCCAGCTTAGTCACACCTCCTCTTCCAACGCATGCACACTTTCAGATCCAGATTTGCAGCCAAGCATGAAGAAAATCGTTCTAGAAAGCACACAGTCTTCCACAAGTGCATAAAACATATCGATATTGATTGTCATTTCAACCAGCCGACCTTTTCACTAAAGCATTGGGCGCAGACTAATTCTCTCATCTCATGTTCAAGTTGGGCATCACAGGGGGCATATTGGAGAAGACAGTCGGTTAGTCGGTTTACAGTCCAGTTGTAAATGACGTGCCCCCCCCCAAATTCTTGATTCTGCACAGAAATAGTTTTCACCGAAGCAATGGTGACTAGCATCGTTGGCGAATGAGAGACAAAGGATAAAGAACATTCAAAACTGGAAACACTGTCCTGTTCTTTGTGTTTTCAAAAAAAGAGCATGTGCCTAGTTGATGAAGTGATAAGTTTTTAGATATGATAAGATTCTTTAATGAGGTTCAATGAACAAGAAAGCCAACAAATGACTGGTCTAGCTATGTCTTATGTCGTAGGCTTTCATAGAGGGACTAGGGCTGGCAGCCGCTTCAGAAGAGATTTGCACGATCAAAGTTCCTTTAATTAGGACGGCCTCTACGACCACGTTACGCAGTGACCAGCTCCCTGTTCACCGGAGAGATACTGAAAACACCCCAACACTGCAAAAAGTTTCAACCATAAAATCAATACCAATAAGGGTATTACTTCAAAATATAACAGTCATCTAGTGTGGCATGTGAGTGGATTGTGACAAAACTCTAACGGCAAGGGAGTAACTAATCAATTGTTAGAAAATTTAGGAATACTTTAAGAAAATATGTAAATAGTAGGTGTTTGGATCATGGTTGAGCTGGTCTTGAGAGACACGTGGCCATTCAGTCATCGTCCAACCACGTCGGCACAGCTCGGCCGAGCTACGCTATTATTGTAGCTCCCCATCTTATCCTTTCAGCCACGACAGCTACGTGCCACACAAATGAGCACAACTATGGATAAAGAGGAGTAAGGAAGACGATTTCGTTGGGAATAGGGCTATATCTCGAATACATCGGCGGCTAACCTCATCCCGACAACCCCGGAAGCCCAATCCGACCAGGAGACGGATCTTCGGCTATAAAAAGGTACCACATGCTCAAGGTAAGAGATCCAACTTCTAACACCCATATTGCTACTTACCTCGGACCAGCATCCTTATAGCTCGACCCGACCATCTACCACCTCCTACTAACTTGAAAGTCGGAGTACTTACCCGAGGATAACTCCTCGGGCCTCTGACTTCTCCTTTCTTGATCACAGGTCTTGAAGCGCGACCTCATCCTTGTAGCTCGGCCTTGCCCTGCCAGCAATGACTATTTGGTTGCTCTCCTCAGTTCATGCACCACATCGAATTGAGCAGCATTAGATTGGCGCCGTCTGTGGGAAACACACAAAAAGTCTTTCCCAAAAATCCTTTCTTCCTCACCGCGCAATCAAAAAAGCGATCAAGATGCCTAAGAACCATCCCGAACGGTCAACAGGCCGATCCCCATCTTGGGAGTCTTGGCATCGCAGCCCTCTACATCAAGAAATTCCACAGTCTCCAGCTGTAGTTGATCTTGTGCAGTTTCGAGCAATGCAAGAGAATTTCGACAAGATCTTTGAAATGATGCAGAACATAGGATCTGCGGCACCGCCCAACAAGGGTGTAGTGCGGTCCAACCAAGAAAAGCAAGATACAACAAGAAGGTCGGCCCCCTCCGTCCGCTCTCACAGTAGGACGAACCAAACCACACAGATCCCCGCCAAAGAAAGGCTCAGTAGACGAACGCCGCCTCATGTGGTCTCCGTTTCCGAGTCTAGCTCCATGAAGGACCGCACCGTGTGCCCTAAGAAGGAAAGAGCAACGCACACCACGGCCCCGGACCATAGGGATAACAAGATTTAGGGACTCCGACAGCGCTTGGAAGAGCTAGAGCGCAACCAAGGCCAAAGAAGCACGATGCTGGTTGTAGATCAGCCCACACAACCAATTGCACCAACTGCCAAGGAACCACCTTTCACGTAGGAGATTGTGGATGAGGTACCTCCCACAAGATGGCGTGCACCTTAGCTTGCAAGTACGACAGAAACAACGATCTCGCCGACCACCTCGAGGCACTGAAGGCTTAGTTAATGTTGCACAGATCTTCCGAGGGCCTGATGTGCAAAGCCCTAGTGGCCACCCTCACAGGTCCAGCCCTAACCTAGTATTCCTCTCTACCTCCACGCTCAATAGTGTCATAGGAGCAGCTGGAAACTCAGCTCCATGCACAGTTCACAACAAGTCAAAAGCATTGGAAAACCTCGGCCAGCCTCATGCAGGTACGATAGAGGAAAATCGAATCTCTCAGGGACTACCTGGCGAGATTCAACAAAGAGGCACTATAGGTTAGAAACCTGAACCAATTCGTGATTGTCACCGCTATTCAACACGGCCTCCGCCTGTTGCCATTCAATTCCTCATCTCCAAGAACCTTCTGTAAACACAGTTGCAGGACGAGGAAGAGAGGCTCGACAAGAAGAGGAGAGATACAGAGGAGCGAAAGTCAGAAAGATTAGACTGGGACCATAAGAGGCAAGACCGCCAACCCGATCATAGACCACAGACACCCCCACCAACCTATCAGAACTTCACGCTGCTCAAGATGCTGCGGTCTGAAGTCCTAATGCAAATCTGTAACCGCAATTACGTTCGTTGGCCTGATGCAAATCCGACCTAAAGATCGATCATTGGACCACCGCCGTACATCAACCCTAGAGCAATGGGCAGAACGAGGTAACCAACCAAACCTTATTTCACGGCCTAAAGA